GACCCCAAGTTCAGATTTGTGTTATAACTTTAGACGGAAAGATGCTACGACTTCAGCTCAATTTTTGATGATTTATCGCGAAACCTAAAATTTGTCAACGATTTTTTTTTGCCCTCATCTGTTATATTCTATCAAAACTTGGACCACTAAAATAATTTCAGTATGGTACGAGCCATAGCTAAAATTCTCCGCTTTTCAGATGCCGCATGTGTCAAAAGGCCAAACCCGTGAAGTACAGACACTTCTGGATGCGCTGACTTGCTTGCTCATTGCGAGCCCGAAATAGTTTATCGCAAAAACGAATGTTATTTTAAAAAGCATCTATCAGAAGCATATTCTGAAGTTGCAGAAATGTTAAAGTCGTTGAACATCGTTATCTGCTAATTTGTCGTTTTCTCTCCTTCTTCCCTTCGCTTTCAGGCAGCGTAATCTTAATCTTTTCGAGCAAAAGAGAAAGGAAAGAAAAGTGTGAGGGAAAGGAAAGGAGGGGCATAATATTTTATCCTTGAAGTGAATAAAAGAGGACGAAAATTTGCATATAAGATCACATCCAGATGAGAAGTGAGAAACATTTAGTAAAGCGTTGCATTTGTGTGCAGACTGAATAGTATTTTGTCAGAATTTTTGCCCAAAGGGCATTTTACTGAATAGAAGGAGGACGGACTGTTGCTGAGAAGAGGGAAGAGGAGGAGGAGAAAATGCTTATTTTACTAGTGCAAAGGAGGAAAAACTGACGGTGAATAGACTGCGCAATTGGTGGATATCTTATCCATCTTTTGCGCACCTACCATTCGTGAGGGCGCATTCACGCGTAGCGATTGCCGCAGGGGGCTAAATTTTTGTTCCATTGCCACTGTCCGGTAGTTATTCAGCGGTCGCCTTCTGCAAAACCCGCATCATCGCCCATCCCTCTTTACCAGCTCCGTCCATCCCGAACAAGCAGCCAATAGGACAATCAAGTAACCATTTTGGTTTCGATATATAAACTGCTCTTCGCCATCTGTTCAGCTGGGCACTGCACAACGCACGAGCAGGGAACGCAGATATATAATTTCAGGAAATCTTACCACTGTTGCTGCTTTTCATTTGAGCACGCAAAGGCTTCCGTACCTGCGTCTGAGTCTAAGCCCAAGCCTAAGAGCTGCTCTCCCCGGCGCCATGCTCATCGAATCGGAGGTACGCGAGAAGGCCTATCGGTTTGTAACATTCTCAGCCGTCACATTCTCGTTTGTTGCAATTTTGGCTGTATTTATTACATTACCAATGGTCAATAACTATGTCAACTCAATCCATATGCGAGTGCAGTCAGAAATGGAATTTTGCAAGGTATGACTTTTTTTCATACCGTCAGCTTATTTCTAAATTCTATCGTCTTTAGTCTTGTGCATTCGCTTAACGCTATTCTGGCAATGCCTATCGAGAGTGCTGCTCGTTCGTCTGGTCCCAGAATACTATAGTGCTTAAAAAAATCATTCTTTCACCGTTTTTTCTTCCCTACTTTTCTTAAAAAATTTGGCAGTGTTTCAAATTGCTAGGCATTTGAGCGTGTCGCATCCAC